GCTGGGCCTCAGTCATGCCTATGTAACCAATACTGGAAAACTAGTGGGAGTCGTGGCACTGAAAGAGGTAGCTCATCTATCCATCCATCCATCCATCCATCAGTTGTCATGGCTAGTTAATTCTTATTTTCCAGATTGTCTAACCCTAATTTCTACTTCTGCATCAGCTTCAAAAAGCCATCGAGGGCTCCACACGCAGTGGCGTACGCTTGCGCCCCCCTCTGGCCAGTTTCCGTGGCACAATTCGTAAAGCTTCAAAGCCTCCTCAGGCCTCCTCCCCTCCATCCTCACCCGGCTCCACCACAGCTCCCTCCTCGCCTCTGTCCGCACCCGTGGTCCCTCACGTCCATTCCCCGAGCCCAGTGGCCCCAGTGCAACAAGAGAAGGAGGAGATGGAGGTGTGGATTGAGGGTGTGAAACGAGAGGTGATCGTGGGTAACAGCAGTAGCACGACGACTGGACGCAGTAGTGGCAGCAGTAGCGGGACAGGAAGTAGTGAGAGTGAGACAGGAAGTCCCGATAGCAGCCCAACCCTACCGCCCTCCTCTCCTCCACCCCCCATCCCTCTCTCCACCCTGCAGCCCGTCCCGGAGAACAAGGAGTGTGAAGAAAACGAGGACGAGGAGCCCCTTTAGAACAAGTAAAGTTTGTTTTTCTTTTATTTAAGGTGTGAACAGTGTACTTTTGTTCACTTTTATTTTTATATACCGATTTCATGTTTTTTATTCATGTGCTCATTTCAAAGGTTTCAAAATGTCTGTTCTTTTCCTGAGTCACACTCAGTTTGTTCTCCTGCTTTCTTTTCTGCTTCCTTTTCCTCTATTCTCTTCCTCTTTTTCCCCCCTCTATACATTTCTTTAAATCATTTTCTTTTCCTTTCTTAATTTCTTCCTCTTTTTCTTTTTTCCACTTAAGAGGAAAAGAAAATTGACAGAATTTTTAGAGGAAGAAGTTTCTCCTCTTCCTCTAGAATTTTCTGTAAATTTTCTTTTCCTCTTTCTTGTTCTTCTTCTTCCTTACACTTGCCCTGTTTATTTCTCTTTCCTCTAAATATTTCTGTAAATAAATTTAATCTCTTCCACTACCATTTGCTCTTCCTCTTCCTCTTCCTCTTTCTGCTTTTTTCCTTTTCCTCTTAAAAAAATCTGTAAATAAATATAAACTGCCCATGGGATTATGCTCAAATAGGTGCTCTTTTTTTCTCCCCAATAACACTTCAAATATTTCTTGTTTTTCAGTGTGTTCCCTTGACATTCAGTAGTTTAATGTAACACTGCTGTGTGACTGCAGTTCTTTTCAGTGGGATTGTAAAAAAAAAAACATAAATGGGGAATCTTCAAACATTTGCTGATTATATTAAAAAAATATTTTATTGGAGCACCAAAACATGAACATTTTCATTACTGACATAAATGATAATGTTAAACCAGGTTTACATGCAGCAGACATTATTTCAGACCTCATAAAAGCACTTGAAGTCTTCATACACCTAGATCATTTCATATGAACCCTTTATTTTTAAAAAATCAATTTCCAACAAAGAATATTTGCACTGTTTGTGAAGTAGTTGTCAAAAATATCTTAAGAACAAAACATGGCCAGCAGGTGGCACATTGATCCTTTTCAGATCCTTTTCAGAATCTGAACTTTCTTTTCACCTGGAAACTATTTTCCTTGTGCCCTTTTCCAGTTCAAATTCAGGGTGTGCGCACTGTCCTTTCTTAATGCATCCCTTTATGTCCTGCCTTCATCTATCCATCATTTTCTGAAATCTCTCTCAGGTGTCTCTCATGTCTTTAAACCAAGGACCCTGCTGTTTATGAACAATCTGTTGGTTCATGTGATCTGCTTTCTTCTTCTTTTAAATGTTACAGTTAATTTAATGTGATTTTATATCGGTTCAGTCTGTGAGCAATAACTTTATTTGCCTCCATTTTTGTTTGTTTGTTTGTTTTTGTCATATTTATTCATTTATTTATTCATTCATCTCTTTCCTTCTTGGCGTGATGAGATATCGACAGAAAAATGTTTGCTTCTTAATGTAGCTTTGAAACGTTGATTGTTTTTGTCTCATATCTTCCAGGAATTACTAACAATTCAATAAACAGTGATACATTTGGATTAAAAAACGTTTATCGCACATACTTTTTAGATTAGTCAGCGATGTGGAATGATAAATGTTTTTATTATTTTTTGAATCATTGTGTAAAATAATCTTAATATTATCTAAACAATTTAATGATAACTCTCTATAGCCATTGACAAATGAGACAGACCTTCACAATAAGGATTTTATTTACAGCACATTAAAATGCACATGATTTGAATGAGGTTACAGGATGACACCGAATGGAGTTGAAGAATCTGCGAGATCGCTATACCTAGCTTTATTTTATATTCCTCAATAATCAGAACTCCATTTCTGATTTCACCGCATTGCCATTCTGCACTAAATGCATCATATTTCACAGAATATGACAGAAATATGACCTTGTGACATCATTGCTGTCAGCTATTAACGTTGCCATCTTTTGGACATTTCACAAAGAGCTCTGACATTGAAGATGCTGAGAGTGTACTTCCCAAAGGACGTGATTTTGAGAGATCATCCACTTCAATCTTTCTCATTTCGCCTGCTCTCGAATTTTGTTCCAAACACAGCCATTAGATCTGTGAAAATGACTCTCATTCGGCAGACGCTAGTCCTACGATGTGTCGAAATATCACAAAGAATGACAACTCAGAACTCAACAACTCGCAGGCCTCATTAGTATAGAAAAATAAATGTTGCCTCAGCATTGCATAACGGCATTAATCAAAACTTTCAAAATCATCAAAGAATATCAATCGTTGCTAAACCAAATGCCTTCTAACTCTAAATTAGTGTTAATGTTGCCACATCCAAAACGGGTTTTTTTTTCTCTCTCTCTTTTGGAGCGTATATAAGTTTCGACACAGGTTTGAGATGTGCACACTAGTAGTCGAGGGCACTTCTTTCTGCAGCGGGTATTTCAATTACAGCTTATTAAATAATTAGTGGAAAGCCTGCAAGCATTAACCAGAAAAGCACCTTCTTTTCACTTCTTTCCACAGTCGTATGGTCTGTCGTGACAAAAACATACTGTGACCGAACATGTCAACTAGCCCATTAGCACATGATTTTAATGAGGGTAAAATGAGAGTTTATCTCTTTGCATTAAGTCAGCTACAGGGAAAGCTATAACGTAAATAACATGGGAAATATGCATGACATAAATGGCTCCTACATATTAGTTCACCAAAAAATGGACCCATGAGTTGTCTTCAGGATTCCCAGTTTGGTTTCCCGTAGTCTCAGACTCAACGGATTAAAAGTACTCAAAGTTTACTCCTCTTTTTGCATGAGAAGCTTAATGGAACTTCCCAGAATGATGACGATGACTCTTCAGTTTTCCTTTTGTTGTTCAGTGCAAATCAATATTGAGCAGCTCAGCCAGGCAGATAAACGCAGACATCGATGTGAAAAAACGTAGAACAGAAGAAAACAAAAACTTGAGGACAGAACCGGGCTGTCGCTAAGAAGATACAATACATTCGTTTATGTCCATAGTAGTGCATAAGTCTTAGTACCAATACAGTTAGGATGTTGAAAAGGGCAGCACTGTTTCCATTTGGGCAGTATTGTGCTTGGATATATTAAGAGCAAAAACATGTTTTCCAGGGTGTGTACGTGTGTGTACATCAGTGTTTGTGTAAGTGTGTGTGTGTGTGTGTGTGTGCGAATGTGTGGAGGTACATAGGGGACACTTCACGCAAACGGCAAATTCGTAACGTTTTTTCAGAATATACCTTTAAAGACACATACATTCTTACATTCATACTAACATACATACATGTTATATATACATACAAATACATATTGTTTCATTGGCTTTTAGTTTTATTACAAAAATCAATATATATTATTACTATGTGGATACTGTTAATTCAGTCACTTAAATACTCAAAAAAAAACACATGCACTTTCTTTTGGTTGTATTGATTTCTCAGTATTGCACTCTTCGTTTTTATTCGCAAGTGGCCTTGGACTCCCGCGCTCCCGCCATAAAACAGCAGCAGCACATGTAATGCATCATCCCGGCTTTGACGCTCTCCCACGTTTAGTCTTTAAATGCGCCTGGCGCTCAGAGCGTGTTCTTTCGGCGTTTAATAACGAATAAATCTGTTCCTGATGTGACAGTCCATACGAGTACACATCTGGGGTAAAAGGGCGTATACAATAGCTTAACTGGTTGATTATTTCACAGACAGTTTTGTTTTTTGAACTGTCAGTTGGTTGCCACAACGACAACAGCCACCTCTTCTTCCTTCTCCTCCAGCGATTGGACGACGCAGGATGTGACCTCATAGGTCATGTGCTCAGCCACTGGCTCTGCTTGCCCTGGGCTCATGCCCCTAGGTGGGGTGGAGCCCTCTCTTTGAGGTGGAGGGGTCAGGGCAGGAGTTAAGGATGTCGACTCGGGTTCGAGGGTGAGTGTTATGTCATCCTCCTTGAGAAAGAGAGAAAAAAAATTAAGAAATAGTTTACCGAATTTGCTGAAACATTAACAAACCCTCGGTCCATCCAAGATGTAGATGAGTTTATTTCTTCATCAAAACTGATTTGGAGAAATGTAGCATTACATCACTTTCTCACCAATGGATCCTCTGCAGTGAATGGGTGCCGTCAGAATGAGTCCAAACAGCTGATAAAAACATCACAATAATCCACAAGTAATCCACACGACTCCAGTCCATCAATTCATCTCTTGTGAAGCGAAAAGCTGCATGTTTGTAACAAACATATCCATCGTTAAGGTGTTTTAACTTTAAACCGTCATTTTTGGCCTAAATACCAGACCATAATCCATAATAATGCTTCTTCCAATGGAAAAAGTCTGTTGTCTTTTCACATGAAAATCCACCAACATTTTTGTTTAGAAATGTTTTGGACTGTTTTTGCTTGTAAACGGTCCTTGATCTGTGCATATTTCTCTCCTGATTCAGACGAGATTACATTTTCAGTGGAGAAAGCAATATTATGGATAATTCGTATATTAGCCTGAAGCAATAGTTTGAAGTTATGAACACAGTTTATCACTTCACAAGACATTCATTGATGGATGTGTGGATGTTTTTTTTAGCTGTTTGTACTCTCATTCTGACGGCACCCATTCACTGCAGAGGATCCAGTGGTAAGTGATGTAATGCTAAATTCTTCCAAATTTGTTCTGATGAAGAAACAACCTCATCTGAATCTTGGATGGTCTAAGGGTGAGTACATTCTCACTGAGCTGGTGGTGAAGGAAGTGGAAATAAAATATCTCACCTTGGCTTCCTCTTCCTCTTGCTGCTCCGGGATGCATTCGTTCTCTAAAACAGATTCCTCGCCGTACACTTCTGCCATTCCCATTTCGGCCATGGTCATGCCCATGTGTCCCATCATCTCCACCTGATGGGGCTCCACCTGAGCTGCCGCCCACAGGTCAGCCAGTCTCGGGTGAGTGGGCGGGCCCAAACTGTGAATAGTGCTGTTGGGCGTAGCTTGTAAGGAGTGGGAGGCGCTGCGCAGTCGATATTCCATAGACTTCAAGAGGAAATGAGGAAAAAGAATTACATAAAACAAAAAAATTTGTACTGAACATCTTTAATGAGGCAATGAACTGCATTACTAACAAGCATTGCAGTCGATGTAATTGAATTTTTTTAATCAAAATATTTAAAACTATTTTATTTCAATATTTGATTATAAATCTTATGAAAAACATTTTGATTAGATTGATTGCAATAGATTAGTGATTTTAAAAGAAATTTCTTAGGCTGCATTCATTTGATCAAAAGTACAGTAAACATTAGAATTTTCATTCTAATATGCAAATTTGTAGCTCAAGAAACTTTTCTTATTACATATATTACACATTATTCTTTATATATAATTCTATACATTTTAAAATGATTTTAAAGAATTTCTAATCAGGCACTGAATAGTCTACCCATAGAGACGTAACACCTGAACTCCATCACACCTTTCAGTCATAGTAATTGCTGTTCTAAATACAGCAAGACCACCTACAGCGCCACCCTGTAGATGACACCTGGCTAAAAGAGGTCAAATGGTAGAGCTAAACACAACTCTCTAGTGTTCCTCTGAGCATGTAAACATGGCAGCATGTCAAACTGTGTGTTTTCTAACCTGTTGATACTGCAGGAGCTGCTGCTGCTGATACTGTTGGAGCTGCTGTAGGTGGTTCTGCTGCTGCAGTGTCAGCTGCTGCTGTGGTAAATAGTGGGTGGAGCCATCATAACCCTCTCCCGAAGCCCCGCCCGCCATGATATAAGAGCCAGCAGCGGGAGAAGCCACGCCCGAGGGCTCGTTGCTGATTGGCTCCCACGCGTCAGAGGAGGAGAGACAGTAAAGGCCTTGAGAGACGTAGGTGTGAGGCCACACTTCTGCAGAGGAATGATGCAACGGGTGGTCTGAAGGACAGAGACGAAAAACGAAGAAGAGACAAGGTGAAGTGCAGAATTCAAATGCAGATTGGAACCAAAGTGGTTTCTAGAAAAATAACTACATTAGCGTCCACACCAATGAATAATAATGTTCTGTATATTATAAGCGCATGCTGCAGTTATGTCATCTGCCGCTTTAAATGCTCAAGCCCTTTGTAGCAGGATGCATTCTGATTGGCTGTCAATGTTTATATCATTCATCAGCTGGAAAAAAGTCGTTCTGAAAGTGTTTCCAACCATAGCATTCCTCTGTGTCGTTATCAATATAGTTGTGGTGTGTACTCAGCTATTCTTTTAAATTTAAAATGATTTTTTAACTATATCTTTACCATTATCAGTACAGTTATCGTACTTGGTGTGAATGGACCTTAAATCTGAAATATTCTAAAATTCCTTTTTATGTTCTACAGTGCATGCATAATTATGAGGCAAGTTGATATTCTGATCATATTTTTTTTCCAAGGACATTTGACCAATTCCAAACCACATCAATCTTAATAACTACTGTTAATTTAGTATTTAATCATTTTTAAGTGATGAAGGCTGGAAGTGAAAAACTCCTTATATTCAGGTCTGCATAATTATTAAGCAGATTTTCTTTTACAAATAAAATGAGCCAAAAAAGAGATTTAACTCAGACTGAAAGTCAAAAATTATTAAATGCCCATGAGAAGGATGCAATACTTATGCAATACTAGATTTTGCAAAGTTAAGGCATGACCATGGGACAGCGAAATGCAGAAAAAAACAGGTGGAGAAGAAAAGACACATGTTAACTGCAAAAGAATGAAGAATTAAGGGGAAGAATTAGGTTTGAAACCATCAGAAACCTTTTAGTCTCCAGCGCCACCATTTTCCAGAACTGCAACCTACTTGAAGTCTCCAGAAGTGCAATGTATCAGGTTCTCAGAGACTTTGCTTGGGTAAAAAATCCAAAAAATGACCCTCACTTAATAAGAATCACAAGCTGAAGTGTTGTGAAATACATGAAGACTGATTTTTATAGGCTTTACAGACAGCGTGACTCTTGAAGGACCAGCATCACATCCTCTTGTACCACTCTTTCAAGAATTTATCTTCCAGAATCTGGCAGTAAGTTCTGGGAGTTCATTTTTAGTCCATCTCCTATCGTGAAAGATGGAAGTCAATGGGAGCCGAAACTTTTTGGTTACCAACATTCTTCAAAATGTTCCTCAAATGAAAGAAAGCCATACATTATTGCTTTAAAAATCTTTATACTCATGGTTTTTCATCATTACAATTCTCCGCTACACAAAATCCTCATTATTTTGACATAATCTGGCCAAAGAGATGCTTTTTGTTTGGTGTTACACTGCAACCTTGCTTCAACCCAGGGCTTGTATAAACTCTGATAGTTGAACCTCAGGAAAACTGCTGTTCTGCGATTCTCCCCCATCGCCTTTGGGCCTGCAGCTGTCACTGTAGCATCTCTGACACATCTCCACACAATAAATAAAGTGTTGGCAATGCGCTCTAGACCTGTCAAATGGACTGGAAGGCACATCAGTCAAGGCTAGGTAAACAATATAAATCAAATCTGCAGAAATATCCAAGCGCTCACATCAGTGAAGCATAGAGGTGTGGTTATGAGACTCCTGTCCAAAGATGCAAACAGTTCCTACTGCAAAAGCAGCTTAATATTCAGAAGCTTTTGAGCTGCCAGTGTAATAATTATGCGAGGATGTGCTTAAGAAGTGTGTGCTTGTACACTCTAAAAAATGCTGGGTTGTTTCAACCCAATTTTGGGTCAGATATGGACTAACCCAACTGTTGGGTTAAAAAGTTAATTTAAAAATGTAACCAAAATTTAACCCAACAGTTGGGTTGAAACAACCCAGCATTTTTTAGAGTGTACTGTAATATCTGAGCTGTGGATTAACAAAAGATTGTTCTTTTCATCTAAAGTCAAACAAAACAGAAATCATAAATCTCTCCAACAATGTCTTCATTCTGTTATGGCATGAGGTGGTTGTTTGTGACCCTCACCTCTGCTGGTGATGCTCTCCTGGTTAACCTCACTGAGGTGAGCCACGCTGCCTTGGTTGGAGTCGGCACAGAAACTCTCTCCATCCATAGAGTTCCAGGCTAAGAGTGTGGCCTCAGAAATGGCAAACTGCTGCAAAATGCCTGCAAAAAGCAAGATAACAATTTTGATAAATAAACATTTTAAATATATACAGATTCTTAGTGGTTGGCTGACTCCACTAAACACTTACCAATTCTTAATAACCATTCAATAGTTTAGGGTTTAGGGTTGTTGTTTTTAAGGGGTCATATAATGCTACATGCACTTTTACAAGTTGTTTGAACTGAAATGTGTGTTGGCAGTGTGTGTACACAACCACCCTAAAATGATAAAAATCCACGCAGTGGTTTTTTGTTAATCTACTAAAATCTTTACCCCTTTCTCAAATCGAGCCGATCTCAGATGCCTGTCTGTGTGACGTCA